CTTACATGGTGAACAGTACAAGGGCATTCATCACAGAAACTTTCGGTTTTGATCATGCAATATGACCTATAAACCATCAGGTCAAATATGAATATTCATTTGATTTTTGTACTTGATTTATATGTTGATCCCACATTTCTCCTATTATTATTATTATTTTTATTTTTAATAAAATGCTGAAGTGGTAGGTAGATGCAAGATAAAGGTAGAAAACATAGTTTAGTGCTGTAAGAAGGCAAATGTAGATGATCAGATGATCAGGTGTGTGCCTATGGACTAAGTATTAATCCAGGCTAGACAAGGGCAGCAAGACATCCACGGATGCAGAAGATTTCTCTCAAAGCAGGGGGGGTGAGGTTCTGAGCCTCACCTCTGTTGATCCCCAAATTCTCACCTGATGGCCCCTCTGCGACTGTGCCTGTCTTAGGTTGTTCCTCCCTTGAGGAATCTTACCCGTCTCTGGCTAACCAGTCATCTTCCGGAGCCATACAGGGAAATGTAAAGTTGACATTTGCCCTTTTTTAAAACTGAGGTATAACTGACAGGTTGTATTATTTTCCGGTGTACATAATGATTCTATATTTGTATATATTGCAAAATGATCACCACGATAAGTCTCATTAACATGTCACTACACAGTTAAACATGTATTTTTATTACGATAGAACTTTTAAGATCTACTCTCAGCAAGTTTCAAACATGTAATACAACAACTATAGTCACCATGCTGTTATATTACATCCACAGAATTTATTTACTTTATAACTGGAAGTTTGTACCTTTTCACCCCTGTCACCTATTTTGCCTGCCCACTGTCTCTGGCAACCAGCTATAGGTTCTTTGTATCTAGGCACTCAGGTTTTTTTTGTTTTGGGTTTTTAGATTACATACATATGTGAGATCATATGGTATTTGTCTTTCTTTGCCTGACTTATTTTATTTAGCATAATGTCCCCAAGGTCCAGCCATGTTATTACAAATGGCAATTTCTTTCTTTTTATGGCTGAGTAACATTCCATTGTTTGTATATACCACAATTTCTTTATCCACTCATCCATCAACGGACACTTAAGCTGCTTCTATATCTTGTTGCTATGAACATAGGGGTATGGATATCTTTTCAACTGAGTGTTTTTGTTTCCTTTGGATGTATTTCTAGAAGTGGGATTGCTGGATCATATGGTATTTCTATTTTTAATTTTTGGAGGAATCTCCATAGTGGCTGCACTCCACATTTGCTTTTAATTCTGTCCTGTGTATTTTCCACTTGCAAATATCAACTTACAAAGAATTTGTGAGGGCTAAGTCCAGGAAGAAAGGAAAACTAAGCCATGGACCCCAGGCTCTGGCCTCTCGCTTGCTCCCACCACCATTCCTGTTCTGTATGGCTTTCTGCTCCCCTCAGAGTCTTCACCTGGACTGGTGACCTTCTCGGACTTAGTCAGACACAATCTAAGACACTGTAATGACAAAATTGACAAAATAGTGACTTCATGGAGCTTATTTTTAAATGATATGTGGTGGCAGAGGTGGGCCTATTATGAGAGGCAGGAAGCAAACAAACACATAATCGAAGTAAACAAAACAAAACAGCATTACTAGGAGGGACAATAGGTGAGAGACCACTTTAGACTAGGTTGGCAAGGAAGATATTTAAGAATGCAACACTTTAGTTAGGACCCAAAGGATGAGAACCAGCTGATAGAACTGTAAAAGGAGCCTCCAGGCAGAAGGAAGATAGAGCAAGAAGTCCCAAATTAGGGATAAGCAAGATATGTTTGAAGAACTGAAAGAAAGCCACTATGGCTGGAGGGTCACTAGTGGCTTCCTGCATCAGAGGAGTGTTAAGGGATGAGAGATAGGCAAAAAGCAGTCATGATGCAAATAGAAGCCATCAGAAGGGGTGATGTGATCTGACTGGAGTTTTAGAAGATCAGTCTGGTGAGGGTGTGGAGAATGGCTTTCCAGGAAGTAAGAGAAGAGCATGTAGACAAGTATGGAAACTAATGCACTGGCACAGGGAACATGGTGTTGTGGACTTTGGTGGCACCTGGTTCAAAGGAGATAAGTTATAAATTTTTAAAGGAATATTGCAAAAAGAAAAAGCTAAGAGGAAACTGAGCAAAAACTAGAATTAACATATATATACTACACAGACTGCTTACCCTAAAATAGCTAAGTTTTCACCCCGAGTTTCCTTGGAAGGCATAGATAATATGAACATGTTCTCTCAAGCCTGTCCCTACCTGCCCCTAAAATTCCCCTTTGTGGTCCTTTATTAATTCCCTTTCACCTTGAGGCAGAGCCGTAGTCACTGTTACTCTCCAAGTGGACACATAGTGAGTAGCCTAAAGCCCCAACACCATGCAGAAGGAAATTGCATAATTTGGGGCACAAAAGCCAAGAAAACATGACTGGTACGGGTGTTTCTTCCACCTTCTCTCATGTTTGCATAACAATATGCCCCTATATGGACCATATTGGAAATTTCTTGGGCATTATTTTAACTGTTACTTTCCTAAAACAGTTTAGAAAAAAAAGGGGAGTGTTATTCTCTGACCCACAGGGACATATGTAACACCTTTAGGGAAATATTATAGAAATAAGGTTAACATCTTTTAACATAATGGTAAGGTGGTGGGAAAGGTGACATAGTGCTCCAAGTGCTTCTTTTACGGACTCATGACAACTTAGTTGAAACCCTGTAACTTAGTGGTTGAGAGCAAAGTCTCTGGAGTCAGACTGCTTGGGTCCAAATCCTGACTTCTCGACTGACTGTAGTTTACAGCAAGTTATTTAACCTCAATAAGCCAGAATTTCATATGTAATTGAGAGTTTGATAAACTTCAGAGAATCTGAAATTGGTGAAATATGGTGAAAACTGTTTGTGAACACAAAAGAGTTTTTCTAAACCTGGCTATTCCCAGCCTCTAATTCCTCCATTATAATCTTTCCCCTTCACATCTCTCCAAAACATAGACATCAACGCATTCTGGTGTACGGACTCATACATACCACACACATACACACACTTAGGTAAGAGCCTGCTTTCTTAGAGAAAGTGGTATTTAACCTTTAAAGCATATGTGTCATCATACTTAATAAAATAAATCTTTCTAATTTAGCACACATTAAAACAACTCCTGGAAAGGGGCAACTGGATCCCAGATCCTGCATCCAAACTCCCTTGCCCTACAGGCTCAAAAACATTCAATGGCTTACCTTTTTCCTTGGGGAAAAATAAAATGATCCACTCCTTTTTCCAGAAGTTCATGGGCTTCCATAGCCAACTTAGTTTATATTCCACTTCCTGATTATAGGAACCTTGGATTCTACCGACTGTTCCTCAATTTGCTTCAGTATAAGGAATGTAAGACAAGGCAAAGGACTGTTCAGACTTGCTCTCAACATTGGGAATGGTTGGGATTTGAAACAAGTGAATAAGGTTAATAACATATCCTCTAAGAAAGGTTTCCTAAGCGCTTGCCTCTGTAGCCAGCCAGCAACTGGGCAGCATTTACCAGGCGGACGCCAGGGGGTAGCAAAATCTCTCTCTCCCAGTTCCCGGAGAACTAATCATTAGGTGGAGAATCTTGGTGACTTGAGGGCCCATAACCCACTGATGGACAGGTGCTCCAGCTCCCTGTCTCTACCTGTGCTGGGAGCTGGGAAGATGGTCACTAGGGTCTCTGCCCTCGATTATTTTTTAACGCTGTGGAGCAGGGGGATCTTCTTGTCTCCAAGAAAAATGAATATTTTATCTCCCCTCTTTTCCAGACCCAGAGAAGTGGAGAAAGGGTTGAGTTTAGCCTTCCGAAGATGTGAGAGGAGATCCCAACACCCAGTGACGACCCCACCCCCTACCGCAGTTCCGATGAGTGCCCAGAGGCTCCAGCCCCAGGCCTCATAGGAGCTGCACGCAATGGCAGGTTTTCCAAAAGTCACCCACTAGCCTAAGTGACACATGCCTTCAGGCCCCTCTCTGGGGACTCTTTGGCTTTGCGATCTCATCTCAAACGCCCACCGTTTGGAAGCGCCATCCCCTCCCCACCAGCCGCTGCAGAGCTTCCCGGCTCTGAGGAGGGACAAAGCATCATTCTATGATGCCTACGCCTTCCCCAGCCCTCGTGGGAGACTCTCGCCAGGGCTTCATTGCCTATCCAAACGCGGTGGAGGACGGATGAGCCTACAACTTTCAAAACTAGCCCACCCCCTTTTGTCTACGGCGTCAGATGCCGCCATGAGCCCTAGCGGCCCTGGGAAACTATCGCCACCCCACAAAGAGGAAGGGTTTGGCATCCTGTATCGAATCCTGGGGTCTGACTGGAATCTGGTGCCTTCCCTCCGCTAGCCGAAAAGGGAAAGATGGATGCACAGACGAAGGGGCAGAGAGGAAAGAACTTAGAAAACGTCCGCCGAAGTGCACGCCCTTACAGGAGGATCCTGATCCCGGGATCCTGCCCCCGTCAGCCACAACGTCCACCCCCTAAATCCAAGCTTTCGCCGCTCCCTAATTCCTCCGCGCTCCCGCCCTCCCAGGCCTCCCAGAGACGCCCATTGTCGGAACCCGAAGGCTCGAGGCCGGAGGGGATGGGAGGGGAAGGAGGAGGCCGGACAAGCCCCTGGAGGCTGGAAGGAGCGCCCTGACTTTTCCGCCCTCCGCTCCCCTCGGGACGGCAGGGGCCTGCGGGGATCTCTTCTGAGACCCAGGTGCTGCCGAAGACTGGCAACCGAGGGGAGAAGAGGTTCTCAGGCGAGTTAGAGACAGGAGGCTTCCGGCCGCCAAACCACCCCAAGTCCTAGGCTGGGGATCCCAGAGAAATCACACAAGCCAACCCCTGGAGCCCCTTGCGGAGGCTAAACTGATGCCGCACTGAGCGAGGCGGGAGCGGGAAAAGGGGCATCCTCGGTGGGGCGGACATCCGAGGGTCAGTGTCGGGTCTACCCACTGGAGGGTGCGGCGGAGAGGAGGGTTGCGGGAGAGGGGGCAGATCGGCTAGGAGAGTGGGGGGAGCCGCGGAGAGGCTGCGCGTGGGAGAGGGGCTCCCGGCAGGGGCGACGGCGGAGGGGCGGAGGCGGGCGCTGCGGGGCGGGGCGGGGCGGCCGTCTCAGCCCTCCCTGGCGGGGCCCCGCGGCCTGGGAGCCCGGGCGGGCCGAGCCGTCACCGCGGCCGGAGCTGTCCCCTAGCCAGACCCGGCGAGACGCGAGCGGCGGGAGGGAGGCGGCGGCGCTCCCGGCCCCGCCCGCCCGCCCGAGCGCTGGACGCGGCCCCGCGCCGAGCCATGGTGAGTCCCGCGTCGCGGCCCCGGTGTCCCCTCCGCCTTCGCGCCGCCCGCTGCGGGCCCTCAGTCCCAGTCCGGTGGCCCCTGCCTGCCGTGGACTGTTGAGCGCTCCTGGGACTCTCCTCCCTCCTATCTCCCCTTCTTCCCCTTGATCTGTCGGCCAGCCCCACTGGCTGGCTCTGCCTGCCCGGATATTCCCTCACCTGTTCTTTCTTCCTCCCCCACCCTCCCTTTGGTCTCTCCGCTAATCCACACACCTCCCCTGCTCTCCTCTGGCATGACCCGTGCCCTCCTTTGCAGGATCTTCGTCCCGCATCCCGGTCCCAGCTCCCTACCCGCGGGAGACCCCTGCGGGTGTGTTGCAATGGGCCGGCCTGGGTCACGAGAACTGACCTGTCTGGAACCACCATTTTCCATCCCAGTCCCCAGCACGATGAGCCGGGCCCACCCATCCGGCCCTGGGGGACCGGCCAGCTGTGGCTGGGCTGGGGCCAGGGACATGGCCAAAGAGGGAAATTCCCGCAGGGAAAAGAGGGGCTGCCTCAGGATAATGGACAGAGTGGGGAGGGGGATCTCATAGTGCCAGGGGGCGTGACGCTGCCCGAGCAGACGGGTGAGGGGAGAGGGAGAGTGCCTGGAACTCACGCTGCAGGGAAGAGCAGCACTGTCTCAGAGCACCCCCGTAAGGAGAGGGCAGGGGGCACAGGCGGGAGCTTCCTGCTGGGAGTAGGGGACCCTGGCGGCAGCGACTCAGGACACAAGAAGCTGGAGGGCACTGTTAAGGGAAGCCCGTATCAACAGGAGTGGCCCCTCATCCTGCGAACTTTCACTCCAGAAGTACTCTCTTTAGAGTCACTGCAGAGCGAGCACTGCCAGAGAGAGTGCCCGCTGCAGGAGGCCTGGAGACGGGGGTGGGGACACGGCCTAGGGGGCCTCGCTGCAGAGAATGGAGGAAGGAGAGAGGCCTTGACGGGGGCGCTCACTGCAGAGAGTGGAGCGGGGTGGGAGGAGCATTGCCCCGCTGCTCCTCTACCAAAGGAGGGCACCCCCAGAGAGGGAGGCTGGAGCACGAAAAAAGATGAACTGAGCCAGGGAGAGCTGACTCAGTCTCTCTAGTCTTTTCTCTTTGGTCCCGGCCGGCTAGAGACCCGGTCTCTCTGCTCCAACCCGCGCCTCCCACCCCAGACCCCTCCTCCCCTCCTGCCGCTGCCGTTTCCTGTGGCTGAGACTCACGCTCAACCATGAGCTCACCGCCCCTAATGGGTTGCAGCTGCCTCGCGGCTCAAGCGCTAGCTCCCCCCACCTGGCCTGCGAATGGACAGCCCTCTCTGCCTCGCCCCCGCCCACGCTCACAGCGCTGGCCGGGGCCCGGGAACACTGCGGGGTCTGTCTGCTCGCCCACACACCTCGGGCCGGGTCTCTGTGCTGACGCACTAAATGTCCCTCTCTGGAGTGGCTGCCCTAGCTTCTCAGAGGGTCGGGTCCGACAGGCAACTAGCAAGAGGAACCCTCAGTAAAATACGCAGTCTTGTGTTCAAGAGCAAAAAGGCAGTGCTGGCGGGGGTGGGGGCGGTAGGGAACTAGATGAACATTGCATCCCCTTGCTCACTTACTGCAAAGAAATGTGATAAAATGACTTAAGAGCCATCTTGAAAGAAGTTTACAAAGAAATAGCCTAAGGCGTGGTTGTTCAGGGTATGGCTTGGAGAAAGCTATCCCATTGGCAAGTCCAGGGGAGCTGGGCCGAGTCTTTAATGGCTCCAGGTGTAGGTTGGCAGAGAGGTCCTACTGGAATCAGAAAATACTAACCGTCAAGCCTCCTCCTCCCTTCCTACATGTTGCTTTTAGGACTTTTTCCTTTTCAGCTGCCCCCACCCAGTTCCTTGTAACCCAATTCCACTGGGAAATTGTGATTACTTTAGAGCCACTCTGGGAGAGGGGGGTGGGTTGCTAGAAAGACTGAAGACGCCCCTTCAGTCCTTCCTGCCCAATGACCACCTCCCAGGATCTGACTGTGCCTGGTTGGTGGCACCTCCACTTAAAACGGGAGTTCCAGGTGTGGAGAGGCCTGCAAGGTAACTGTACAAAAACTAACCACCCTCCAGGGCTCTCCACCATCAGTTAAGTCTTCTGATGGCCCAGGAGCCTGCCTCCTGAGGATGACCTATGCAGTCAACCCCATTCACAAGAACCAGGGACAGCTCTGATCAGAGACATTCACGACAAATTCTCCAAAAGCCAAGGTCTCAGAGCTCAAGTATGGAGGGCACTACTAGGCCCATGCAGTCTGACTAGCACAGCCCCCCTGGGGCCCTCCCAGGCTCATTCAGCCAGCATTTCCTGAGTGCCCTCTGTGAGCACACCCTGTGCCCACAGTGTGACCCCCAGGGTATACAGCCAGCCCCATACCAGGAGCCATGCTTGCGTGATCTCAGGATCTGCATTCTGGTCTTGTCTTTCCCAGGAGCCTGAGCCAGTGGAGGACTGTGTGCAGAGCACACTTGCCGCCTTGTACCCACCCTTTGAGGCAACAGCCCCCACACTGTTGGGCCAGGTGTTCCAGGTGGTGGAGAGGACCTATCGGGAGGACGCACTGAGGTACACGCTGGACTTCTTGGTGCCTGCCAAGCACCTGCTTGCCAAGGTCCAGCAGGAAGCCTGTGTGAGTGTCCATGTATCTCTGTTCTATCTCCTCAAAGATCCACTGCCTCACTCTAGAGACTAGCCAGACTAATTTCTCCTGCTGCAGAGATGCTACCTCCCTGACACTGATAAGCCCAGAAAGCAGAGACCACTCAGATACTAACACATGCACAGAAATTCATCTTCCCCAAATACCCTTAGAAACGTCAACTGCCAAAGACCTTGACCCCCCCAGACCCAATTCCAGATATTTCCCCCTTCACTCCAATTTTTCAAGATACTTGTTCCCCCAGACATGACTCAACAGAGATCCTTCACTTCTACAGGTATAAAGACCTCTTAAGAGTCTGTGACTCCTCCAAGAGAATGGCAGCTGCTGACCATGTCTTTGTAATGACTCAGTTCTACCCTCCTACACATGGATCTTGCTTCCTAGAGAAGCGGTCTACTACCAGAAAACTAACCAGTCCCTGTCCCTTCCTTTGCCACATGAACACCTAAGATATCTCCCAGCTCCCCTGGAATCACAACCCACCAGGCATAAGGCGAGCCCTGCCTAGGTGTTCCCTTTCTAACTGCCCCCTTCTGGTTTCATCAGCAGAGGCCTGAGCAGTCTCCCACCTCTCTCCCCAGGCCCAGTACAGTGGTTTCCTCTTCTGCCATGAGGGCTGGCCCCTCTGCTTGCATGAGCAGGTGGTGGTGCAGCTAGCAGCCCTGCCCTGGCAGCTGCTGCGCCCAGGAGACTTCTACCTGCAAGTGGTGCCCTCCGCAGCCCAAGCACCCCGCCTGGCACTCAAGTGCCTGGCTCCAGGGGGTGGCCGGGTGCAGGAGCTGCCTGTGCCCAATGAGGCCTGTGCCTACCTGTTCACACCTGAGTGGCTACAGGGCATCAATAAGGACCGGCCAACAGGTCGCCTGAGTACCTGTCTACTGTCTGCGCCCTCTGGGATTCAGCGGCTGCCCTGGGCAGAGCTCATCTGCCCACAATTTGTGCAAAAAGAGGGCCTCATGGTTGGACATCAGCCAAGCATGCTGCCCCCAGAACTGCCGTCTGGACCGCCAGGACTCCCCAGCCCTCCACTTGCAGAGGAGTCCCTGGGCACCCGGAGTCCTGGGGATGGGCACAACGCCCCTGCTGAAGGACCTGAGGGCGAATATGTGGAGTTGCTGGAGGTGACGCTGCCTGTGAGGGGGAGCCCCATGGATGCTGAGGGCTCCTCGGGCGTCTCCAGGACTCGGACAGTACCCACCCGAAAAGGTGCTGGAGGGAAAGGCCGGCACCGAAGACACCGGGCTTGGATGCACCAGAAGGGTCTGGGCACTCAAGACCAGGACAGGGCGCGCCCACCCGGTGAGGGGAGCAGCACAGGAGCCTCCCCTGGGCCTCCCCCTGGAGCTGAGGCTCTCCCAGGGGCAGCATCCCTGGACGTATCTGAGTCCCCAGGAGAGGCACTGCAGGAAGCCTCTGAATCTTGCCCCATGAGGCCAGGAGAGGTCAGGGGAGGAGCAGGCCAAGGCACTGAAGGACCACCTGGCACTCCTCGGAGAACAGGCAAAGGAAACAGGAGAAAGAAGCGAGCTGCAGGCAGAGGGGCTCTAATCCGAGGAGGGGACTGTGCTCCACTGAGGGGGGACAAAGAAGAGACTGACTACCAGGAAACTCTTGTCAGTCTGCCCCCACCAAATGAGCATGAACTTCCAGGATGCAGCCTGGTTAAGGAGGAGCATGAAGGCCTGGGGACACCAGAGTCTGAGCTGAAACAGGAGCTCAACCCAGAAGATGAAAAAGAGCCTCGGCCCCCAGAAGCGTGTGGGTGCCTAGAAGAAATGGCCAGAGAGAAAGAGCAGGAGGCACCCAACATGGTGGGCACAGCAGGTGAGATGACACGGAGGCTGGCAGGGCAAGGGCTAGTGTAGGTTGGACCTAGGGCAGGGGGCTGGAAGAGGAGCTAGGAGCAGGATAGGCAGACCCATCCTCATCTCCGGCCCATAGGTCTGCCTCTGTCTGTGCAGGACTCTCAGGTCCAGAAGGGTCCCTGTTGGACCCCCCAGCACCACCCCTGGAGACTCTGCAGGAAGTAGAAGGGGGCAGCATCCCGGAAGAGGCCCCTCCAGTCCCCATCACTGATGACACAGCTATAGCTTGGGACTTGATGGCATCTGGATTCCTTGTCTTGACTGGTCAGTGAGCATCAATGGTTGAAGGGAAGTGGGTCAAGGAAGAGAAGCCATCAGGGTGGGCTGCAGAGGGAGGCAGGGTGGGTGGTAGGTAGCCAAGGCATGCCCCCAGCCAGGACAGCCTGGCCATTTTGTGTCCTCAGGAGGGGTGGACCAGAGTGGGCGAGCTCTGCTGACCATTACCCCACCGTGCCCTCCCGAGGAGCCCCCACCCTCCCAAGACATGCTGAGCACTGCTCTTCGTTACCTCCACTCACTGCTCAGGTAACCAAGGCCCAGCACTGGCACCCTGGACATTAACCTCCTGAGTCATGAGGACTCTGACCTCCTCTCTTCTCAGAACACTGTCCTCCTGACCTCTAGGACACCTGCTTCTTCATCCCTCAGATTTTCAAGTCATTGACTTTTGATCTTACTGACCCCTGACCTCTAGAATATCTTCATCAATCTTTAAAATCCAAAGTGATGGCTTTCAATATCCTAAGACACTACTTAGAGTATCAGGATATTGATTCACTCATTCAACAACTATTTATTGAGCACCAAGAAGTAGGCACCATGCTAAGTGCTGGCATTAAATTCATACTCTTCCAGAGCGTAAAATTCTTAACCTTCCAGATCCAGGTCTCATGAGTGTAGACTCCTGATTGCTAGGTCACTGTCTCTTAGACCATACCCAGACTTTGTCTCTGCCCATTTCCTCCCAGATGTACCAGGAACTAACTTCTCCTGAGGTCTAGTAACACTAAAACCAGATCCTGTGCCGCTATCCCCACTGCACACGCGCACACGCACGCACGCACGCACGCACTCACTCACTCACTCACTCACTCAATCAGCATTCTTAGTTCCTCCTGCCCCCACAGGCCTGATCTACAGATATTGGGGCTGTCCATCCTGCTGGACCTTCGTAAGGCACCCCCACTGCCTCCAGCACTCATTCCTGCCCTGAGTCAACTTCAGGTAACCAACCCCTTGAACAGGTACTTCTCCTGAGCGTAACTCTTCCCTACTGGCCATTCCAGGCCATCAAATTGCCCACAGTTTAGGGTTATTCTTCTCTGCTGTCAGGACTCAGGAGACCGTCCCCTTACTGAGAGGCTGCTGCTTCTCACTCATCATGATCCTCCGATCGAATTGCATGGATTTCAGGTTTGAGCTCCTCACCCACTCCTCGAGCCCCTCAGTAGTGGAGAGAGAAGAGCCTGGTCCCTGAGCCCGTGCCCACATTGGAAACCGTCTGCCTTCTCATGTCTGCAGGGTGCTGAGGTGCTGTCAGAGAATGATCTGCAAAGAGTGGCCAAGCCAGAGGAGCTGCAGTGGGACTTGGGAGGTCACAGGGTCCCCTGCCCCAGCCAGTGGGTAGAGACGCACCAGGTAAGCTTCCCCCCTCCCACCCAGGACACAGAGAGTCAGGAATTACCCAGCTGAGAACATTCTAGAGGAGAAGGCAGATCTGAGACGTGGCCATGGGGTTAGGAAAGAGTGATTTCCTTTCCATTCAATTCAGCAAGTATTTATGGCTCACAAACCATGAACAAAATACCGTGCATGTACCATGGGTTACTTGGGATATGAGAGGAATTAAATTAAATTAATTCTGAACATGACATCAAGTAGCATATGATTTTTGGTGGGGGATAATTCAGAAGCTACTGGAGAAGAGTGTAAGATAATGTCACCTGGGTTCTGGAAAGAGCTGAGAGTCAGGAAGGCTGGTTCTGGTTCCATGTGACTTTGGACAAGTTTCTGTACCCCATTTCTGGAGATGGTGCCCTTTCTGTACCTGCTTCTGCATTAACATCCAGGTCTCAGGCTCCTCACCCACAAAATACACCAATTGTGATATCATCTGAGTCTATGAACCTAAGTGTGTAAGTATTCAAAAAGAGAGATGTAACATGATCTGAGCTGAGTATTAATGGGGTTCTGTAACATGGTCTCTAAGTTATGCATCAAAGAGCAAGGGGATCTAAATAGAGTTTCATAGGGTAAAAACCTAATGCAGACAGAGGAAAAGGAGGCTTTTTATGAAGCTGTATAATATGCCAGACTTTATCTCTAAACCTCATAAAATCCTGTGTGTCTTATCTTGACTTTATAGTTGAGGAAACTGAGGTTCAGAGAGGTTTCTGGACCTGCACAAGGTATTAACAAATAGTATGCAACCAAGTCAGAAATCGAACTGGCATTGCCTGTGTAAAAGTCTCCACCCTAGGGCTTAGGCTTCTAATCCTCAGCTCTGTACCCGGACTCTATCCCATGCCTGTGTTTCAGCAAGCAGCAAGGCTGTGCCATCTGTGTCGTGGTGTGCTGGGCTCCATTCAGCAAGCCATCAAGGAGCTGGAAGGCACAGCAGAGCCAGAGGGAGGGGTATGCAATGAGATGGGACCACCTGGGATGGGGTGGGGTAGGACAGGATGGGACTGGGCTGGGAGCTTTCTCCTGGAACCTCAACTGTCAATACTCCCTGCCCCCAGGAGGCCATAGGAATGCCTGAGCCCCTCCAGAAGGTGCTGGCAGATCCCCGGCTGATGGAGCTGCAGAGGGACGGGGGAGCCATCCTGATGAGGCTGCGCTCCACCCACAGCAGCAAGTACGGAGGACTAGGTCATGCCTTTCTGCTTATATATCATAACTCTCACAACATCCCTAGGTGCTGGTTATGATTACAAGTGGGGATTTGGAGGACCAGAAATGTTAGATGTCCTGGCCAAGGTTAGTCAGTAAATGAGAGTCAGGGTTCAAATTCAGGCCTTTACGCTGACCCAAGATGCCTGCTGCCTCTCATGTTGGCATGGGGCGCAAGGAGCATGACAAGGCCAGGAGTTCACTCTGCCTCCTCCTTCCCCAGGTTGGAGGGCCCAGGCCCAGCCACACTGTATCAGGAGGTGGATGAAGCTATTCACCAGCTCGTGCGCCTCTCCAACCTGCATGTGCAACAGCAGGAGCGCCGGCAGCGACAGCACCAACTCCAGCAGGTGAGCCAGGATCCTCACATGCCTCTCCCTCAGACAGGGAGCTTGGCCTCCAGCACTCCCTTTTCCACTGACGCCTACAGTTGATGGTGTTCTCCTAACCAGGCTTAGTTGAATGGCTCTCCCACTCACCACACCTTCGGCCACAGTCAGCATGAGATTCCCTTCCCGCATCTCAGCAGCAAGTAGAGAAGTCAGATCTCCCCTCCCCACTGTTGATATTTGATCCTTTGAGATTGTGACAGATGCTTGGGTGCCCTTTGGGAATTCTTGAAAGAGTTGGTGGACTCTGGAGTGCCCACCTCCTTAGTTTAAACACAATAGGGTCTATTAATACCACCTCTTTAGCTATATTGCCACCCATGCTCCCTCAACTCCTATAGGGATGGCATCCCCCAAACCTGGGGCTGGCAAGGCCCCACCTCCCTCCATCTTGAAAGGGGAGGGGAAAAGAACCCAGTAAATGCTTTGGGAACCAGGATTCTTTGTGGGAAGATTTAGGGATAAGGCTGCTTCTCTGCACCTTTATTCTTCTCTCCTGGGGTTAAGAGCTCCATAGGGATATGTTCTCTATCTTACCATGTGGGGTACCAGGGCCTTTGAAATCTGACTGTTCCCCTTAGGCCCAAGTGTGGTGAGTGAGCACTTCATGGACCCACATGTGGGCATCAGGAGAAGGGTCATCTCAAGGTCAATGTCAAGGGGTGGAGGGAGGGACCTCAGTTTTCTAGGGTTTCTCTATATTGACTTCCTCCACCCCAGTATCCAAGGGGTTGTATGTCTGTTTGCTCGCTTGCTTATTAGCTGTTTCCCATTTCAAAACCATTAGTATGCAGGATTTGGGGTCTAAAGTGCTCAGCTTGAGTTCTAGCTCTGCTAGGAGTGAGATGTTGGACCAGTCTTGAAGCATATTGAGTTCCCAAGTCCTCATCTGTAAAAGGAGGGGGATAAAAGCCCTTAGCTCACAAGGGTGCTAGGATGATCAAGTGAATTCAGCAAAGGACCGTTATTGTTGGCTCTGGTCATTAGGAACATTCCTCAGGCTGTCTCACTGCAGCTTCCAGCCTTTCCTCAGAGGAAAAACTTACCATCCCTTTTTAGTCAAATATCCCAGAACCAAAGTGAGCATCTCTAGAGCCCCCTAATAGGCAACTAGAGCTGGACACACACACACAACCACCTCCTCCTGGCCATCTCTCCAAGCCTGGTCCCTAGGACCTCTGCCCACCCATCACTGGGCTTGGTGAATATGAAATTTCTCCTGGCCCTTGATTACCCAGGTGATCTGCATCCTGCTTCAGGCTCATCCCTCAAAGCTTCCTGCCAGCTCCAAGTCCCCTTCATCCGGTGCTTTAACCAAGATCTTACTCACTTTCTCAACTGATCCTTATAGAATCTACCACCACTGACTGCTATCATTTCCCCTTTACAGCTGAGATGAAAAGACTGCCCAGGGTTCTATGGCTGGGGTGGTGGGGCTGGAGCTGGATCTCAGCATGTCTTCCCACTGCCTGGCCTCCTTCTCCCTTACAGCCCCACTCCCACCCCATCTGTCTGCCTCAGGTGCTGCAGTGGCTCTCGGGCCCAGGGGAGCAGCAGCTGGTGAGCTTTGCCATGCCAGGGGACTCGCTGTCTGCCCTGCAGGAGACAGAGCTACGATTCCGGGCTTTCAGTGCTGAGGTCCAGGTGAGACAAGGGACAGGGGCAGGTGAGATGGGGCACACAGGGAGGGAGGGAGAGACTGACTGTAACTGAGGATTAGGTCTGAGCACAGCCTCCCTTCTCCAGGAGCACCTGGCCCAGGCACGGCAGGCCCTGGCCCTGGAGGAGGACACCACCTCCCAGAAAGTTCTGGATATCTTTGAACAGCGGCTGGAGCAAGTTGAGAGTGGCCTCCATCGGGCCCTGTGGCTACAGCGCTTCTTCCAGCAGGTGTGTGCAGAGCCTCTTCCTTTTATGCCCACCATTGCCTTTCTTCTGCCTGGAGAGGCTGACCAGGTAGTTGTTAAAAACAGGGACTCAGGAGGCCATCTCATTGGCTTTGACTCTTGGCTCTGCCACCTACTTGCTGAATGACCTTGACAAGGTAGTAAAATCGAGCATGCTTTTGTAGGCACCCACCTCGCAGGGCTGCCATGAGGATGATGTAGGCAGTATGAAACAAGCACTTAGCCCAGTGCCTGCCACTCATAAATCCTATATAAAAATTAGCTGTTCTTTCATCAAGGCTCCTCTGCCTTCACACCAGCTCTAAGTGATGTGGTTGGGCAGTAATGCTCAGACAGTGAGGGAGGGGTTCTGAGAGGACTGGGAGGATGATGGGCACTGGGAAACCATCAGCAAAGAGGACAGGAGCTGTCATCAGGCAGCGTGTGCACAGCACGGACCTCACCTTCCTCTCCCCATTTCCACCCCCTTTGTCCTGGTAGGCACATGAATGGGTGGATGAAGGTTCGGCCCAGCTGGCAGGAGTGGGGCCAGGTCGGGAGGCAGTGCTGGCAGCCCTTGCTCTGCGCCGGGTCCCGGAGCCCAGCGCTGGCACCTTCCAGGAGATGCGGGCCCTGGCCCTGGACCTCGGCAGCCCGGCAGCCCTGCGAGAATGGGGCCATTGCCGGGCCCGCTGCCAAGAACTGGAGAGGAGGATTCAGCAGCAGCTGGGAGAGGAGGCGAGTCCTCGGGAACACCGGCGACAACGGGCAGACAGTGCCAGCAGTGGAGGGACCCAGCAAGGTCCCCACAGCCCCTCACCTAGCCTCAGCTCCCTACTGCTCCCCAACAGCCCTGGGCCACGGGCAGCCCCATCCCATTGCTCCCTGGCCCCATGTGAGGAGGACTGTGAGGAAGAGGGTCCTGAGCCTGTTCCAGAAGCAGAGGGCAAGCCACCAAGGACTGTGCTGATCCGTGGCCTGGAAGTCACTAGCACTGAGGTGGTAGACAGAACATGCTCACCCCGGGAACATGTGCTGCTGGGCCGGGCCGGGGGGCCAGACAGGCCCTGGGGAGTAGGCACCCCCCGGATGGAGCGCAAGCGGAATATCAGGTGAGAGCCCAGTCCAGTTGGTGCCCACGAGGAGGGTCCAACTGCCCAGCAGGAAAAGACTACTACATTGTGGGGCGGTGCCTCCCTGCTATGTCCCGACCTTCTCTGCCCCTTGTACCTGCAGTGCCCAGCAGCGTTTGGTGTCTGAGCTGATTGCCTGTGAGCAGGAGTACGTGGCCGCCCTGAGTGAGCCAGTGCCACCCCCTGGGCCTGAGCTGACCCCTGAGCTTCGGAGCACCTGGGCCGCTGCTCTGAGCGCCCGGGAGAGGCTTCGCAGCTTCCATCGGATGCATTTTCTGCGGGAGCTTCAGGGCTGCGCCACCCACCCCCTGCGCATTGGGGCTTGCTTCCTTCGTAATGTGAGTGACCCCCTAAAACTTCCTCCAGGTCCTCTCCCTTTCTGTATTTCAGGCCCATCCATTTGTCCCTCCTTCTCAGTATCTATCCCCCCTCCTAAAATGTGTGGTCCAAGACTCTGGGCCACTCTGGAGCTACACAGCCTCTTTGTGCCCATCCTCAAGGGCTGCCTGGCCTTCACTCTCTCCTGGAGCCTGTCAGCCCCTGGATGGAACAAGTGGCCTGCCCATCCTTTGGGCTATAGTGAGGATGGGGAGGGAGTTAGGGGAAGACTTGTCTCTGGGACCTCGCCAGGGATGCCTTACCTCTTACCTATTGGCACAGGGGGACCAGTTCAGCCTTTACGCCCAGTATGTGAAGCACCAGCACAAACTGGAGAATGGTCTGGCCGCACTCAGTCCACCAGCCAAGGTAAACCTTCCCTCCAAACTCCGTGAGAAGGGGAGGGGCCAAGAAGACCTAAAACACACGCAGCCTCAAAATCTCTCAGGGAAAATAAGCTTTTCTGGATGTGTCCAGGAATATCCCAGAATTGGTAAGGGTGGGACAAGCACAGGAGTGGGAGCCAGGTAAGACTGGGTTCTTATACAGTCCACCTGAAAAGACTCTGGGCAAGTTTTGATTCCTCTGGTCCTCTTGTTTTTATATTTGGTGAACGGGGGCAATATTCACTATATCCAGCTTGCAGATTGCTCTGAGCATCAAAAGACCTTACATCAAAAGATGTGTAAGTGCCTTCAAAAGTTAAAAGCCAGAGAATAAAAGGAGCTGTATGTCATCCTACTCCATTCCTCTTCAAGATACAGAGGATGATTGAATCTCCCCCATCTGCTGCTTTCTGGGGGAAGATTTTTCACCTGACCTTTGGGATTATCTGGGCTTCATCTACCCCCAAAAGCTTGGAGTACCACCATCTTCCCCGCAGAGCTCAGCCCCCATCAGCTCCAGCCCCTGCCCTCATCTCTGTCTCCTCCCCAACCTAGGGGTCCATGGAAGGTGGCTCTGTCCTGCCCCGGGCCCTGCATCAGCCCCTGGAGCAGCTGGCTCGGTATGGACAGCTCCTGGAGGAGCTCCTGAGAGAAGCTGGGCCTGAGTTGAGTTCTGAGCGCCAGGCTCTTGGGGCTGCCATGCAGCTGCTTCGGGAACAAGAGACCCGTGGTAGAGACCTGCTGGCAGTGGAGGCGGTGCGTGGCTGTGAGGTGAGGCCATGGCTCCAGCTGCTCCAAACTTCCTAGCCCTGTGACCCCAGCAGCAGTGTGGACTGGTAACAAGAGAAGTAGCCTCAAGGTCAGAGGGCTCCAGGCCTCTAGATTCTAATCACGTGGATGGTCTTGTTTGAGTCACTGAATATGACTGGGCCTCAGTTTCCTTATCTATAAAGAAGCTATGTCTTGCTCATCATTCCATGATCCTACATCTGCCTGTGCTTTCCTGTTCCTTTGCTTTTCTCCTGCATCTCAGCACCTAACACATACCTTATTATCCTCTACCAAGCCTCTTTCCAGCCCCGAAGTTCCAGAACAAGCAGGGAACCTCCCTCCTCTGTGACAGACCTCTTTCCCCTTCAATTCTTTGCTGATTCTCTTCCTGGGGCAAATGGTGCTTTGGTCCCCGACATTCAAAGGCTTCCCCATGGGAGGCTGTCAGCCTTACTGTGCAAGGTGCCTTCTGTCTTCAGAGATCAGGGCTGTGCTGCTAGGCCAGGTGTGTTGTGCATGATCACCAGTGGATGGAATGTGGGCTGAGGACTTCCCTGTTCCTAACCCCACCTGAGAACCAGTGCATTAGGCCCCTTGCCATAAATACAATTTTTACTCTCCATAAAATATACACAAAAGGCTCCAGGGCCAATGACCTTTCCTTTTCCTTTCCCCAGACAGATCTGAAGGAGCAGGGACAGCTCCTGCATCAGGATCCCTTCACTGTCATTTGCGGCCGAAAGAAGTGCCTTCGCCATGTCTTTCTGTTTGAGCATCTCCTTCTGTTCAGCAAGCTCAAGGGCCCTGAGGGAGGGTCAGAGACTTTTGTTTACAAGCAGGCTTTTAAGGTATAATGCCTGAAACTCGGTGGGTGGGAAGGTACAGGACAGGAAGTCATGCTTTTCTTGAGAACTCATAATGTTCTGGAAATTCATTCCCAACCCAGATTCAGAATCTGCATCATCTTTGGCCTGTAATCAACCATCAGATTATAGTGTCAGGTGATCGAAGTCCCTGACGTTGCCCTACTCCATGGGGTTTCCTTATCAGTCATACAGGAGATTCATGAGGCATTCAAGCCAGAATGTTCTTTTCCACATTAAGAACACACACACCTTTTGAGTTAGGGGAGCTCCTTGGGAATGGGGAGAAAGGACACTATGTATATATATAGCTTAACTTGACTGAACCAAAGAGCCCAAGAAGAAGACCTTACCTTAGGGTAACAGCCTTGGTATCCAGATAACAACAATAAAAACCTATAGTCCTAGATCAGGCAGTGTGGCATGATTCCAAGGGTTTCTAGACTTTGTCCTTCTACACTAGTTCCAGGTTTTCAGGGTGATGTACTGTATAGAGAAAAAGTCTAGGTTTGAGGTAACAGACATGGGTTTGAACCCTTTTTCTCTAATAAGCAATGATAAGCTCTCAGGCATGTCTCTGGGCATTCCCTGCTGTAAATTATGGTTATGAAGACTAAATGTAGAGCACTTGGCACATGGTAGGTGTTGAGCAAACATTACAGAACACATACGAGATGCCAGGCTAAGTGTAGTCTTTTCCATGTGCTGCCATTAGGCAGGACATGCTCCTTCATCCTCTCTCCTCTGCTCTTTCTCAGACTGCTGACATGGGGCTAACAGAAAACATCGGGGACAGTGGGCTGTGCTTTGAGTTGTGGTTCCGGCGGCGGCGTGCACGAGAGGCATACACTCTGCAGGCAGCCTCCCCAGAGATCAAACTCAAGTGGACAAGTTCTATTGCTCAGCTGCTGTGGAGACAGGCAGCCCACAACAAGGGTACCCGGCAGAGCCAGGGCAGGATTGCCTGGGGTTAGGGTTATAGCAGAAGGTTAGCTGTGAGAGTGTGGAGCCCATTCAGGAAAACAGAGTATAGAATGGAAAAAAGGACAGTGACTTTTGAGAAGATTCAAGACCTGATTTGAGAGAGACTGCTGGGATAGAAACTAGTCTAAGATGTACAGAAGGAAAGAGGAAGCTAACAAATTTCAAGGAAGCAAGAACAAATTTCAGGCTGGGCAAAAGGGAATGAGGGAGTGCTCACTGTATCTGAGTGTCAGAACTTCCTTGCTGTGTGATCTAGTTTTTCTGTGTTTTGTTTATGGAGAGGGGGGAGTTGTTTTTGCTTTTGTGTGTTGGCTTTCTTGTAATTCTCTGAACCTCATTCCATTCATCTGAAAAATGGAAAGTAATAGCTACATTTTAGTGTGATAGGAAGGATTCAATAAGGTGATCTATATGGAAGCACTTGATAAACTGTAGAGGTCTAAAATGCAGGAGTTGTGCTTAATGCTGAAGAAGAAGGGAGGAAGGTATTAGCAGAGAAGTTGAGCAGCTGGAATACCAAATGGGCAGGATGCAACATAAAGGAGAGAAGAGACAGATGTCTGAGGAAGAAGTCAAGGACCACCACCATCCTCCATGTCATGACAGTCAACAGAAAGAGTAACAAGAGATATCACAGGAATGAAAAGGAGGAGTGAGAGCTGGGAAGGCACAAAAGGGAGTCTACCATGGCAGTGCTAGGGGCTGGGGCAGAGGAGGGGCCGCAGGAGATTGGTGACAGGGTCTCTGTTCCCTAGAGCTCCGAGTGCAGCAGATGGTCTCCATGGGCATCGGGAACAAACCCTTCCTGGACATCAAGTCCCTTGGGGAGCGGACGCTCAGTGCCTTGCTCACTGGAAGAGGTGAGAGCCGGTGTGCTGGGGGGTGGCCCCCAGAATCCAAGACTCGAGTGGGGAGACATGGTGGAGAGTAAGGAAAGGCAATGAATGGATATGTCTTCTCAGAAACTGTGGGGCTAACTGGGAGGCCCTCTATGAGACTGAGGGTGATTTCAGGGAGCCAGGAAGGCTTTCCCACACCAGCACCCCACCACTCACCCAATCTCTGCAGCTGCCCGAACCCGGGCCTCCGTGGCCGTGTCATCCTTTGAGCATACTGGCCCCTCCCTCCCTGGCCTCTCGCCGGGAGCCTGCTCCCTGCCTGCCCGCGTCGAGGAGGAGGCCTGGGATCTGGACGTCAAGCAAATTTCCCTGGGTGAGGCACCTCTCAAGGGTGGCTCCCAACAGCTGGGTCATGGTGGTGATGTTCAGGCTGCTTGCTGCTGAGCAATTCCTTTTTCTAGCCAAGTAGCCCAGTTGCCATGACAACTATGTACAGCTTCCCCATTGCTAAGAGCCTTCCATCTGGTTGCTATGGTAATGCTTACAGCAGCCTGTTGCTAAGAAGCACTTCCTCTGTACCTCTCTCTCTAGCTCTTCTTGGGTTTCTATGGAAACTGCCTCAGCTTCCTGTTGTACCCTCCTGGTTCACCACCGCAATATTTAATTTCCTGTTGATTCTTCCCTGGTTGCTCTAATGATGCTGCTGACAATTTCCTGCCTCTGGGTAGGCTGTTCTCTTGCAACTGGATTGCTATGGTGATTCGCAGCTTCCTATTGCTATGGAGCTTTTTCTTCCTTGATGGAGCAGCTTGATTGCTTGAGGTAATCTAGAGGGATTCTCTACCCTGCTCTTACCCTAGCTTTCCCTCCATCTCCAGAAACACTTGACTCTTCTGGAGATGTGTCCCCAGGACCAAGAAACAGCCCCAGCCTGCAACCCCCCCACCCTGGGAGCAGCACTCCCACTCTGGCCAGTGGCGGCATCTTAGGGCTGTCCCGGCAGGTAAGTGCCTGCAGTAGGGCTGGTAATAGGGTGATCTCTTCAGCTATTTTCTGGGTGGGCTCTTCTGATCCTTCAACCCATGGTGGGGTGTAGGGGAGCCAGTAAGCTTGTGCTCCTCAGTGAGGTACAGGTTGGATATATTATCCAGTCTGCCTTTCTCTCCCCCAGGCCTAGCTGAGAGGCAACAAGGTCAAAATCCTTAGTAAGGAGCACAGTGCAAGAGTGGATGGAAAGGGAAGAATGCCAGCAGCCTGGTGTGGGTTTGGATAAATCAGCAAAACAGGAACTTTGGGGGAAGAAAGAGAGGTGAACTGACAAGCTTGGGAGAGCAGGGAAACACAGGCAAGAGGTCATTTCTTATCTTTAAATTCACCAGCTTCTCTCCTCTCAGAGTCATTCCCGAGCCCTGAGTGACCCCACCACGCCTCTGTGACCTGAGTGAGTCAGCACCTCCTTTCCACCTTATCCAACACTTTTTCCCTCTTGCATGTTCCGTTCTTCCTTTCCCCAGATGCTTGGGAGTCAGCTTCTCTCCTCTCCCTTCTTTCCTGGCTTCTAGAGAAGACCCAGAACTTGGCTACAGCCCTTCCTCTCAGCATATTTTGGGCTGGGATGGCAGTGGGACATAGTGGAGGGCTGGATGAGCACTGAATTTCTTCCCTCTGCTCCTAGACAGAGAAGCGGTCAAAGGACCAGCGTGTTTTCCTGCTACCACTTTATCTAACTGACCTCAGCCAGGTGCCTTCCTGCAGGAACCAGGTGTCCACACTTGCTCACCTCCATACCCTGGAGGTGGGGAAATTATCCCTTGTCCAGTCCATCTTGGGCCACTGCAGACTTCAGGACACTGCTCTGTGTCAACCCTCCCTCAAGAGCCTGTGTTCAGTCCTTCCCACCCTGATTCTCCCTGAGAAGACTTATCTCTGCCAGGTCAGCTGTATCCTGGTGACCTCATTCTGGGCTGTCATAGGAAACAGAGCTATGCAAACCATTATGGGAGGGTGGGCAGGGAATGGCAGACTTTATATATGTAATTACTGTTATTATAATACTATTGTTATATTAAATGTATTTACTCACACTTAGTCTCCTAAGAGCTAGAAGAGACCTCTGGGTTGAGGTGACACTAACTTGAACACTGCTCCTCATCCAACCATTAACTAAAACACAGAAAGTAAAGCCAGACCTGTACCCCTTACCAGCCCAAAGCTGGGCCTGGGAGAATGTACCTCCTCCACAGCAGCTCCCACAGACCCAGGGACGGCACCCTTTGAAGCTCCTCCTCTTATTCTGCACCCACTTCTTGAGGTTGAGCTGGGCAGTTATGCTGGAATCCGGCACAGTCCAGCAGTTCTCAAAAGGAGTCTTCAGACCACAGCGCAGGAGAGTCCCCTAGGCTACTCCTTAAATATAATTCCTAGGTCCCACCCAAGAGCTACTGAAGTCTAAGCCTGAGAATAAAGGCCAAGATCCTGCATTTCTTATAAAGCTCTTTCGCTGATAAGTGAGTGCCTGAAGTGATGATTTCCTGGACAGAACGGCCCAAGAACAGGATGTAGACAGACACAGTGCCCTGTGCCTCAAGACACCTGTTTATTAGAGACACAACTCTGCGATAGGGATGACAGAAATCGTACCAAAAATAGCGACGTCTACAGGCCCCTGAAGGGGCTAGAAGGGTACAGTGCCCCCACCCCCACCCATTGTACAAAAATAAACTCTCATGCCTATGGACCAGCAAAGACTGACAGAGCGGCTCCTCAACAGGGACATAACCCTCTCTGCCAGCCCTGGGACCCCGTTCTTTGATCCTCACCCCTGCCACTTCTAAGGCACTGTGACTCTCCCCTTGGCTGGGTGGGTACCGCCCACCACCCTCCTATGCCCTCTGCCCCCTCCATCTCTGGTCCGCCTGGGGCTGGGATGTGGGTCCCTCACTGCCCCCCTGCTGGCTGCTCTACCCAACTACCTCTAGCGCTCCCCCGCACCTGCGGGGTAAGCTCACTAAGCTAACCGCCCCTAAGAGGGCTCCCTACCGTTCCTGCCCCCCAAGCATGGCCTCCACCGAACGCGATAGCCCCGGGCCCTCCTCCCCTTCCTGCAGAGGACTCGGAGGGGTCTCTCCAGACAGTGCTCGAGCATAGGGCGGGGACGTGTCAGCCTGGGGCGGCCGGCGGCCCCGAGCCCTGCGGCTATGGTGCACTTGCAGGTGCAAAGCCATGAGCTCGGGGGCTCCAGTGGCGAAAGGGCAGAAGAGGCATCGGTGGAGGGCACCCCCCGGCCCAGCCTCGCCTCCCGGCCCCGCCCGCAGGGACAGGTCCAGGGGTTCGGCCTCACCGCCTCGCCCGTTGCGCAGGGTCCTCCCGGGGCTGGCGGGCTTCCTACGGGACCCAGGCGCGGCGCCGCTCAAAGGAGGCCGGGGGCTCGCCACACCCTCCACCCAGGTAGCGGGCTGTGAAGCTGACTTGGCTCCCGACGACTGCGCTGAACCTCGGTGGGAAGGTGGCGGCGGCTCCGGGGGTGGCCCGGGGCCTGCACCGCTCCTCTGTTCCCGGTGGTGGCGCTGCAGGTGATACTTGAGCGAGCCAGATTGGGTGCCCGCGTAGTCGCAGTGCGGACACTTGTAGGGACGCTCGCCTGGAGGGAGCGGGGTGGCGGCGACATTTCAATCCACGTACGGACCACCTCTGAACCAGGAACACTGCCTCCCCCACTCGCTCTGATTTAATAAAGCACTTCCTGACGATCTCATCCAGCCAACCTGAAGGCTGCCAAATGTCAACTCCCAGGATTTCCCATAGCTCTCTCACCTCTCTTCTCCCCCATGCCCCATTTCCTCCCCATCCCAGGCTGCCCCCCTCACCTGTGTGCACTCGCAAGTGCACTTTGAGGTGATGCGCTGAGCGGAAAGATTTCCCACAGAAGGGGCAATCCTTGCCGGTGGCCCCCCGACCCCCTTCAGGCCGGGTCCCTCCAACTAACAGCCCATTTTCTTCTGCAATACACACATTAAGGGAAGTCAGAAGGGCCTTCGGCCCCAATCCTATCAGTGTCATGCACCCCCACATCCACTTCTTAAGATTGCTTTCCCTCTGGGCCCAGGAGAAATAGTATGGAGGACTCTGAAGGGTTGAATTTGTTGCGAGTTGAGCCTGCCCTTGTTAGGCGGTAAAGCCTCCAGAGGGTATACAGCAAGAAATAAGACACAAGCCCTTTTGAAGAGGGGCGGGGGGTGGGGGAAGAAAGTAGTGGCAGTGTTACCCTGGGCCCAGGATGCAGAAACCTTGAAGAGAGGAAACCCCTACATACCCTGCGTGGCGGTGGACCTTGCCTGGGACCCAGCAGCAGTCGCAGAATGCCCTGGCCCTTCGCCTGGCCGCAGATGCAGTGAAGCCAGAGAACCCAGTGCTCTGCCCCGGGCCCAGGTCTCCTCCTCCGTCTCCACCACCTCCTCTTCTTCACCCGGATCCTCGGAGCAGTGCCGGCGAGCACGAGCCGGGATTGCAGACGGCAGTGGGTGGAAGCTTCCAAAGCTGCGACCAGCCCCAGGCTCAGCGCCCTCACCATTGGGCCGGGCCTCGCCAGCTCGTAGGCTCAGGTAGCCCAGGAGGCTTGGTGATTCCCGGTGCTCAGCCGGGGTAGGTGCTGGGGCCAAGAGGAGAGCAGGGCCCAGTGGCTCATAGGCCAGTAGGCCTAGGTCAGGAGGCTGGGGGGCACGGGCAGGCCCAGAACCAGACCCCGGGGCACGCAGTGGGCCCAGCTTGCTAGTGTGCACCTTCATGTGGTTCTTAAGGAACCAGGGCTCCTTGAAGCAGCGGCCACACACGGGACACGCGTGATCGAAGGAGGCCTTGTGCTTGCGCATATGGCCCTTGAGAAACCAGGACTGAGTAAAGCTCTGGCCACACACTTGACAGCGGAACTCCGGAGGTGCAGGGGGCTCCTCGGGAGCTGCAGGCGCAGGAGCAGGGGTTGCCTCACGTTCAGGCTCCAGCTCAGGCTCCGGAACAGATCTAGGTTCAGGTTGGGGTGGTGGCTGAGGCTGGGGAGCAGCCGAAGTGGCCGCTAGGGGGTGCTCAGGAGCACCGTGGGCGGTCAGGCTGTGGTGCAGCAGCTCCTCCTCCTGGCTGGCACCGAAACTGCACAGGCCACACTTCCAGGGCCTGTGCAGGATGTGCAGGTGGCGTTCCCGCTCCGCTGCGGTGCGAAACTTGCCTTTGCAGAAGGTGCAACGGAAGGCGGACGTCGACGGAGCCTGGGGCCGCGCTACTCCCTCAGTGGCAGGGGTAGCCTGAATGCCGCCTAAGCTTCGGGCTCTCCCCAGCCGGGCTTCGCGCAGTAGCGCGCGCTCCTCCAACTCCTGCAACAGACGCGCGGCAGGGCTTCGCGGGCGGTCCGGCTGGTGCGTGCGCAGGTGCGAGCGCAGCAGGGCCCGCTGGGTAGCGCGGTGGCCGCAATGCGAACACTGGAAGGCCTGGGCGCCTGGGTGCGCCCGCAGGTGCAAGGCCAGGATGGAGTTGAAGCGGAAGCGCTTCCCACATACAGGGCAAGGGAAGCGCCGTTCACCGGCACGACTCTCAGACCAGCTCACTGCACCCATCCCTGGAGAACCGGCGCTCACGCCTGGCCCGTTGGAGTAGCGCTGCAGATCCAGTTCGCCGTCGAAAGCTGGCGGCGACGGCGCTAAGTGGCCGCCAGGGGCGCGGGGACGTGAGCCCTGTGTAGAAAGATGTGAACAGAGCAACGGGTGGGGAAGGGAGAGCTGTAGGGGAAGCAAGGGCATGGAGGACCAGAAGAATCCAAGGGAGAACCAGGGGCCTGAACCAGGAATGGGGTGCCCTTCCCACTCACTTCGGGCAAAATGGGGAATGAGTGGGAAGTGAGCTGTTGGGACCACGGATATAACTTGTAATAATGGTAGGTCAGAGAAAGAGAGAGAGAGAGAGAGAGAGAGAGAGAGAGAGAGGGAGGGTAGGAAGAGAGGGTAGGGAATATCGTTGTAGGGATTTGCAGGTTCAAGCCAGAGCTTCCACTCACCTCCATGGACCCCCTTCACATTCTTTGGTTCTGGGGAGTGCAGGGAAGAGGAGGAGGAAAAGCTGCTAGTGAAGGCAACAGGTGCTGAAGAGCTAAAGCAAGAGAGATTTGGAGGAAAAGATGAGCCGTAATTTTCAGCTGTGGAGTCACCCCCAGCCCCAGACTGTTACCACCCTGTACTCCTGAAACCTAGCCCTTCTCCTTCCTTGCATCCTAAGACAACCCAGTGGGGGTGGGGGTTGGTGAGGGGTCTGCTGTCTTCAATATTTGTACTCCCTATTTTGCCAAGCCCACAAGGCTCCTTGACAATCCAGATTACTTCCCCCAAATTATTTGTTTTAAAGGCCTGTTCCAGAACCATCACCACCCCGCCCTGGCAGTGGGAAAGACCATCACAGTGTACCCCTCTCACTTAGTTTGGGCTGTGCAGCCTAATTAGCAAATGGGGTGGGCTTGCCATGTTCCCCAGTTACCCCAGTGGGACCGGTTGCTCTCAAACCCCTAAATGACTAGCCAGCCAAACATCCTTTCAGGTTCCACAGTCCTTCCTTCTGCCCTTACCCTGTCTTTCTGTCTTTCCCCCTCATTCTCCCTCCCTCTGCCTGGATTCCTGATCCATTCATTTCCATTCATTACAGAGACTCATTCATGCATGGGAGAGAAACACCTCCCAGCAGCAGAGTCTGGAGACAGACAGAGGGGGAGGGGCATGAAGGGGGAGAGAACCAGAGGGAAAGGGAATGAGAGAGTTGGGGGAGGAATGGAAGTTAAGGGGCACTGCTGGCTTGGGGGAAGGGGTAAAAAACTGCAAATACCAGATATAGGATTCATCCCGGTGTTTCAAACCTTGGAGCCTGCAGTTTGATGGGGCATCTCAGCCCCTTTGTCCAGAGCTGTTCCGAAGCAGGCTTTCCTCCTCACTGCAGGGGAGAGGCTCCCTCACACAAGAGGAGGATTACACTGGCTCTGAGCTCAAGAGGCTGGAGTGAGGGATGGGGGGCGGGGCTGGGCCATCTGCACAGACAGGGGCTCAGCACATGCTCTGAGCAAAAAAGGGTTAAAATTCTCCAGGCTAAATTCCCTGGGCCTGGGATGTGCAGGGCTCCAGTTCTGAGGAAGGAGAAGAGCACTGGGAGAAAGAGGATTGGGCAGAGAGGGGGTTTCCTCCTGATTCTAAACTGCAGAGGAGTCTAAGCTGCAGAGGAGATTGGCATTAGAACTAAAAAGCAACCCAGAATTAAGATTCATAGAAATAGGCCTGGAAGATGACCAGAAGTTGGCCAGACTACCTTCCTGCTTACATACAGAATTGTATCTGGTCAAGGCAAGAAGAATGTAGGCCTAACCTATTTTTTCGCCTGAGACAGAAAGAATATTTAAGATATAAAAAACTTCCTCACAATAGGCATTGTGAAACTGAAATGGGTTACCGAGAAAGAAAAGGACTCGAGCATACTTTGCTTAAGGATTTTTAACAGAAGAGAGCTGGCCAGGTAGTCAGCCCTGTTTATCAGCAAAGAGAAAAGGCTCTGGAGGTCCACGGCTTAATTTTTGACACTTAGTGGATATGATAAGAGTCTTTGAAGGGGCAGGTGCCTGTTAAATGTAGAATTTTGGTTATGGGAATTTTACTAACAGGAGGTTAACAAAGTGTCCTTGTCCAAGGGTCACTAAACCACCTCCATAACCACTTTTAATATTTGTATTTCTGTAACTCCAAATTAGGGCATCCTCCCCCATCTTCTGGATCCTCCAAATAAATCCCTTTCCTGGGACCAAGAGCCCAACTGAGTCCCCAGTAGCATCATGAAAGGTGAATTAGAGTAGGACTGAGAGGTACAAAGCTAATGTGGGCCAGTCTGATCATTAATAGCCCTGCAACCTTCAGTAAATTACCTAACCTCCCAGCTTAATCATCTGTAAAATAAGGAGGTTGCACTAATTTATATTGGTAGTCCCTTCCACCTCCAAAGTTTGTGGTTCTGAGTCACAGGACTCTTCTGGACCCCAGAAAGACATTAAAAAAGAAACGGTCATCCCTTCAGTACCATGGAGAGTGCAGTGGGCTACCAGAGGAGCCACTTTGGCCACCTCAGTACCATAGATACCATGAAGTGCTAGAGGGGCCACACTGGTCATTTTAGCACCACAGATAAAGTACTGAGAAAAGCTAGATGATTTTTTAAAAATTCCTATCCAGGAACCATAGGGAAAAATTTAAAAAAACAGTGGTACCAGAGGGATTATCTTGGCCTTTTGGATGTCACTGAAAATAGATAGCTGTAACAGAAAATAGATGTAACTAGAAGAATTTTAATTAGCTATAAGGAGTGTCCTGACAGTTACAGTTTGTACATCCTGGAATCAGCTACTGAGGCATCGTATTTGGGCCCATCACATTCTGTTGCTCTCCTGGGAATTCCCGGAACATCCTGGTGTACAGCCAATCTGGTATATTCTGAGCAAGCAGATGGTGGGGGAGGGGGTGAGGCTGGGAATACTGCATGGTCATAGCTGACTAACCTATGGGCACATATTCAGATTCTGAGAAGATTTTAAGGCCCCTAAAACTGCCTGTAGGATAGTTTGTTAGCAAAACACCTCATGAGAGGCTGACTTCATTTCTATCTGGGGCAAGTAGAAGAATAGGACAAAACTTCCTCCCCCAAAACAAAACAAAAACCCAAAACCTGCTTTGTACACAGCAGTTTCCAGGATGGAAATACAGTGACATGTAAAAAGGCCCAAACTGAAGCTGAATTCCTGAGTAGGGAAACTTTCCCCATAGGATGGCCTCAAATCAACAAAACCCATGGAGAGAGCCTCCTGGGCCTAGGCAAGATCTCCTGAATCATCTCCATACCAAACCAGATCCCAGGCATCTGATCCCATGAGGCTTTTTCAACAGGAGAAAGCACTGGCAGGGCCCCAGAGCCTATCAACTAAACTGGAACCCAGGTCATGTGTCTATTATCTGTGGGCAATAATCACAGTATTTTCTATAGTCAGGCCCTAAACACTATCCATGAGACTTGGCCAGGCAGTAGCACTGACCTACTTTCTACCCCACTGGGAATCAGGGGTTATCTTGCCCTTATTTGGGTTCTATAGGGATGCAAGGCCAGGGATAGGGTTCAAAAAATCTTTCCAAAGCAACAGGCCAATTACTTTCTGTGCTAGGAAAGCTGAGGAAAAGAGGGTGTGGACCTATCTTGCTGAGTAGGAAGGATGGAAGGGTTGGTGAGAAGACTCTAAGAAACAACAGGGACAGGTACATTGAAGCATCTGCTGACTAGAGGACCACAAAGATTGGCCCTCAAACCTGTTTCAAAAGTTCTTACAGTCAAAGGATTTTTTGAGGCATAGGTCTGCCTAGGCCTCTGTCACTGCACTGGTCATTTCTAATACTCGATTTTTCCCCCCCTGTTGAGAATCCTATACTTCCCAAGTCCACCAACAATTATTATTAGCCCTGCACTAGATGGAGATAAAAATAAAGGAAGCTTCTTAGGTGGTCTAGAGTTAAGACCACCTTTATGACAGGGACACCTGTAAGTACGCTTTCATGGTCTCCTCTCCATGGTTCTCTGAACCTCACCACTCAGGTAGCTCCTCCAAACTGACCCCACACCACAGCTTGTGGACCTTTTACATTGAGTGCTTGGTAAAGAACCTCTTTCTCTCCTGAGGTGGGGGCATGGAACCTCAGTCATGAACTCCACATGTACAGCAGTAGGCAAGAGGAAGGTACACCTGCTCACCTCGTGCTATCCCACCATGGTAAATCTTATTCCAAAGCCATGTTCCAACTTACCCCCTCTTCTGAAAGTTCTGGAGGACCTGAATTTGGGGGAGAGGGCATGTAGCTAGCTCTAAATCCCTTTAACTGGAGCTGATGCTAGAAAAGTCAGAGTCTTAGCACTCATTTGAGCCTCAGTCCTCAGATTAGGGGGTGGGGGGTGGGCAGGAGAGCCTCGGGGAAAATCTCCTTTCCAGAAGTAGGCTGGCAAGTCAGGGAGGACCTATGATCCTGCACGAGAGGTTCTTCCAGCAACACCCTATACCCCTCCCATGGAAGATAAGCCAGAAGGATGATGGGGGGCAGGGTTGGGAGATTGGGAGGCCAAGGCTCAGCTACCCAGGCCAGGAGAACAAAAGCTGAGTTGCAGCCGCCTCTGCGGCTGCCGCCGGCCGAGCTCTTTGTGACACTTTGTTTGGGACGCAGAGAGGGAAGCACCCCCCCTCATCCCACCCCCCACGCCCCCCGCTCCCGGGGAGTTTGGGTCCCTTCCCCCTCCTCCATCCGCCCTACCTGGGCCGGGGGGCGCTCATCCACTCTGGATCCCGGCTCGACCGCCCTGCACCCCCAGGCCCCTCGCGCCCTGCCTTCGGGCCCCTACAAAGCCGCCCGCGCCCCCCCACGCTGGCCTTTCCCCTTTGGTGTCCGCTTTCCCGGCTCCCCCACCTGCCCCCCCTTCAAAGCCCCCTAGCTCTCCAGGCTTTCGAGGCCGCCGCCCCCAGCCCGCCCCCCCAGGAGCTCTGGGCGAAGTTTGCTTGGGGCCGAGCCGGCGCCCCTCCCCCGCCCCCGCCCCCTGCACCTGCTCCGAGCCGGGCGCGCGGAGCTGGGGCCCCCCCCTCCGGGAGGGGGAGGGGGGCGGGGGCCTGGTGGCGGAGGTGGGGGCCGGGACTGGGGGGAGCGGCTACTCACGAGCCCCGGGCGGGCGGCGGCGGCACGGGCGGCGGCGGCGGCGGCGGGCGGCGGGCCGGCGGCGCGGGCGTCAGCGTTACGTGGGGCCGGGGGAGATGCGCCGGGCCCCGGCCCCCCCGCCCCCGGCCCGGCCCCCGCCCCCTCCCCGGTCCCCCGCCCCCGGCCCTGGCCCGCATTGTGTGCGGCGGGAGGCGGCCCGGCCATTAGCATGCGGGGGGCGGCGCGGTGGGGCTGGAAGCCGCACGGGAGCAGGCGCGGGGCTCTGGCTCTGGGGACTGGGAGCTGGGGACCCCGGGAGCCGCGAGAGGCGGCCGCCAGGGGCGGGGTGCGGACAGTTTGGAGACGGGGGGCGCTGTCGGAGGGAGGGAGGGAGCGGGGGTGGGGCGCACAGACGATTCCAACAGGAGACTGGAAGAGATTTTGAAAGGTCATCTCGTCCTTCCCCCAGCCTCCAAGCAGGACTGCCCCTCCCACCCTAAACCCGGACATACCAGGGAAGGAGTTGGCTCTGCCGCTCTTTCTGCCCCAACATGCACAGACTCGGGAAGTTCTTCCTGGGGTTCTATCTTAAAGCTTCTCCCTTACAATTTCTGTCTCTCTTTTTGGGGAGGAGGAGGGGCGATTATAGAAATAGTTAATGTCTGCCGTATAAGAAACATTATTAAAGTTACTCTTCGGTCCTTTCTGTTCTTGATAAACAATTTCTGCTCCTTCCTCTCGAATTCTATTTTCCATTCCTTAAGTCACTTTAATTGCTCTTCAATACAGCAAATATTTACTGAGTGCCTACAAAGTACCAGGCACTATGCAGAGGCTGTAGGGGATGAACAGATGAGGGGGATGTAGTACCCTTCTTGGAGGAGACTAATCTAGAGAGCGGCTACAATTTTTAAGTAGTATACTCAGATTTAATCAGTATTTACTGAATACCTGTTCACATATTTAATAGTATATAATGCTTACAATAACACTCTGAAATATATTAGTCTGCACTTATGCATAAGGAAAATGAAGCTAAAGTGACTCTCTTCCCTACTAGCTCAGGGATCCTCAGAACAAGACCATCTCACATTCTGTCAGGCTGTTGCCACCAAATAAAATTAATGCACCTGGAGATGTCGGAGGGAGTAGATACACAACACTTCTCAGGAAAACTTTATATGTGATTCCCACTCACCAAGACAGAAGAGTGCACAATGCTCCAATGAATGTTGACCCAGAACTGAGCAGGGCAGAAGTGGCTTACAAAGAAAGCCACTTGCTTCCCAGGACCTGTCTCCTAGCACTAACTTTCAGGGGTCTCCTGGTTCAATCTTCTTCTATTACCAGTAATGATAATGATAATAGCCACTAGCCTTTATTGAGCACTTATCTGCCAATCTGGGACTGAGCTGGTTCACATAATAAAAGTATTTTTTAGTAATACTCAATATTTTTTAATAATGAAAAGAGAATAAAAGAGTATTCTCCTTTAATATTCAAGGTAACCCCTTGAGAATGGTATTATTAACTTCCCTTTATAGATAAGGAAACAGATTAAGTAACTTGCCCAAGGTCACCCAGGTACATCTGGGATTTGAACATAGATCTGGTTACCTCCAGACCTCAGGTTCTGCACCAAGATGGGCCTTTCCCATTTTTAATCTATAGTGTGTATTTTTGGGCTAAGCTGGTTCTGCTTCTTACTGTAGAAATAAGTGTCCCCAGCTTAGCTTCTGAATAAGCCCTTTAGTACAGGGGCATCAGGCATATCAGTATGACCTCATCGGCACTACTAAAGTTATTAAGCACCCACCATCAGTCAACAACCCTTCACAGTCATCTTATTAGCATACTTTTTATCACTCTGTTTGAACAAACTGAGGTTCAAATAGGTAGAAAAACGTATCCAAAGCCATACAACTGGGAAAGTTGAGATTCTAACTGGCAGAGCTGAGATTCTAACCTGGTCTTCCTGGCTGCAGGGCAATTTCTCTCTCTAAAAAATATTAATTGTTGCAATAATATTCCTCCCAAGACTCAGGGGACCATCTTCTGTACATGCCTAGTTACAGGTTATACTGATTGGAAAACAGCACCCACTATAAATAGGGCTTCCCCGTTTATTTAGTTAGTGTCCAATCCAGAGTAATCTTCCTTCAAGAAAGGAAGGAGAGGAGAGAGTGAGAAACAAAGCCAGGGGAATTAAACCTTGCCTGGTGTTGGGACAAAGCTGCAAGTTGTGATGACAGGGGGCCATCCAGACAGTAATGTGGGATTTCCCTAGGGAACAGCAAGTAATTCGAGAGAAAACTTAAAAAAAAGGATTAGCTGGAAATGGGGGTGAACCAGGGACCAAGGTAGTTGTGTCCATTGGGGATGAGGTGAGTGACCAGAATAGGAACCTACGATGGGCAGAGAGGTAGGGGTAACAGGAAGCAGGAACAGAGGGAAGCAGGGCTGTCTTGTGAATGAACTGAGTTTGGTGTTTGCCCATAGCCACTCCCTGGGTCCTTAGGCCCTCACAGGGACCTTTGCCCCACCACACCCAACCCTGACAGACTAACTCTCCAGGACAAGTTTATTGTCTGCTCTGAACTACCAGGCCCTGCCAGGAGCTCCAGGCCCACCTGAGGTAACATCCCTTTGGAACAGCTGCTTCAGACTAGGTAGGTGTGAGGCCCTGAGCTTCAGCTCCCTGTATACTGGGAAGTAGGCAGAAGGGCAGCTGAAAGAGATGTTACTGCATGTCCTATCTCCTGATAGGGGCCATAATCCATTTTTCCCAGCCTAGGAATCACAAAACTTCTGTGGTCAAGGAAACGATGAAGGAGAGAACTGGTCAGCAAGAGCAAGAGACACCCAGCCTTCATCTGGAAAAGCTACAGCACTGGGCAATGCACAGGCACAGTGGGCACCTCTTGGTGCTGGCGGTGAGGCCAGGCTGCCCCAACCCAAGATTTAGCTTGTTAACTTGTACCTCAATTTAATTCCTTCCACGTTTAGTGAGTACTTACCATGTGCCTGAAACTTCTAGGCTCTGAGTGGGAGGAGGGTGGAGGAAGCATAGAATAAACAAAGCAAGACCCTTAATCTCCAAGTAGCTTCCATCATGTGGGGAGAACACATAGGTAGGTAAGTAACTAAACTACAGTGTGAGGCAGAAAAAATTAAATGATATCCCCTTCCTTCACTGCCCTTGATTGGCCATTTTCCACCACCATGCATTCCTCCTAATGCTGATCTCTGGAAGAGGCAAGGGTTGAGAGAAAGGAAGGGAATCCCTGACTGGCCCCCTCCAACTTTTGGCTTCTAGATGAGCCAGCTATGGTTGGCAGTGGCTGTGGTGCCCTTTGCTGTCTCAGTTGCCTGCCTGAACTCTGCCTGTCACATGGCCACAGCACTGCCACTTGGGCCTGGAGCATTGGTAAGACCCATGACAAGGCAGGGTGGAACGAAGGTTTGGGGTGGGGGTGGGGCCCGGGGTCCCTCCCTAATGGAGCCAGAGCTCAACACGTGCCTTTCTCACCATTCAGGGTCTCCTCACTGGGATTGTTACTCTTGAGCTGCGCAGAGCACCCCGCCTCTGGAAGGTGAGGGGGAAGAAAATGCAGTTCTATTCTCCCTCCTGCAACACACACACACTTCAACGCAGGAAGTAGCTAAGTGTTGTCTAATCCTGTCAGCTCTCTACCTTGGCTGGCCTAAAAGAATAAGAAGGGAAATCAAAAATTTAGAGGACTGATGGCCCTGTTTTGAGGTGGAGAGATAGGAACTGGGTTTTGTTTTGGGCTACGCTGCATGTGGGGCTTGATGTTGCTGTAAGTCCCCTAGGCAAAGCAGGGCTGAACTGGCTCACTGGCAGGTGCGGGCCATGATGATGTTCAACACCTTCAATTTGATCTTGGGCTTCATCGTGGTGGTGGTTGAAGTGATGAAGACAGTCTTGGCACCTGCCCCTAGTGCCCCATCCCAGGTATGGGTGAATAAAGGAGCAGGTGGGGATGAAGAGGAAAGAGGAGATGAAGCAAGAAAAGGGCAGGGGCAAACAGATGATGGGTCCCCCGCAGCATTTTCAGCCATATCTACTTGCAGCTGGCCGGCTTGCTGGTGGTGGAGCTCAGCACTGAGGCCTTCACCCTAGGGGGAGTGCTGGTCTCAGTATGTTCCCTTTTCCTGCTGAGCGAGAGGAAGCCAGGATGCTGCAGGAGCCAGAATCCAAGGCACTACCAGGAGCTGCAGGAGGTATTCACGGGCAGGGGGTAAAGTATGCAGCAGCTAACTAGCAGCTCATTTTTTTTGCTGGCTATCCTGGTCAGTGACATTTAAGGGAAAACAGTGGGGCAGCAGGGAAATAAAGGGGTCCAAGACTGAAACTGATTGGTTTTCTAGCTTTGGACATTTCTCCCCTAGTGGTGGTTTTAAAAGGTAACTGGGTATCTAAATGTTTGTAATAGAAATGAGGGAGAGCATTAGGAAGTTGTCCAAATATTGTAAGGGCCATGGAGACTAAAGAAAAACTGGGAAGGGAGGAGAAAGTTGCTTCTATCCCGTATTCCTCCTTTCTCACCCCTACAGTTTACAACCATTACACCTCTGTCTGGTTTTCAGCGTCTCTCTGAGTTGGAGGAAGTTCCTGATTTGGAGAAAGGTCCCACGATGGCTAGCACAGCGAACGAAACCAATGAGTGAGCTGGCAAGGGGAAGCAGACAGGTGCTGCTCTGCTACCTACCCTTCGGGGGCTCTCGCCACTCCTCCTGCCCCCGCCCCACCTAACGCAGAAGCTAGATGGAGACCCTTGAAACCTACGTGAAATCCAGTGGAGAGACTTCAATTTTCACTCAGACTAGGCCCCTTCTCATCTCATCTCCACTAGTATTCCCTCACCTCACTGCCCTGAGAAGCTGCCTGCCTGCAGGACATCCTTAAACTTTCAGCTATACCCACTTTCTCCCTTCCATCCTTCCCCTCCACCTCCCCATACAACTTCACATCTGCCTCATCTTACAACCTTTCACTCCATGCCCGGGTCCCCGTACACACTCACTCTCTGAAATTTATTCATGGGTGGTTTAGTTCTCGCCTTTCGATCTGGTTCCTGTCTACTCTAGCGGAGACTACAAGTCCCGGGATGCGCCGCTACCCCGTGGCCTGCTGGGAAATAAAGAGCCTTCCCTCCGCGGTGGGGGCGCTGTGCCTCTGCTGGGTGACGCCAGGCGCTGGAGTCGGGGCCTTGCCGAGTTTCCTCGGACGCGACCACTGGCCCCATGTGCAGGGAGGAGCCAGACTGGTTATCCTGCGCGGAAGCGCCACCACCCCCACCACGGCTACTGAGAGCTGACTTTGGGTCCACACCACCCTCTGGCAGCTTCGGAGACGGGCAGAAGTTGGGGGCTGGCCTTTGGCAGAGTTCGGGTTTCCCAGATGCTGTCGCCGCGACCCCTCCCACAGTGCCCAAGTCCAAAGTCCTGAGACTTGGAGCGCGCGCGAGAAAGGGATTGGAGATGATGAGTCAGAAATCCTGGGCCTTTCTCCTCTCCTCCCCCGAGGCCTAAGCGCCCTAAGCACAGGCTCGCTGGGGAGCTGGGTGGACGCGGCAGGAAGAGGGAGGGACGCGGCGACCCGACCGACCTATGGCTTTCCCGCCTCTTGCGAGAACGCCGGAGTAATGAGCCCGCGTTGCCACCACCCTTTCTCTCCAAGGCGGGAGCGGGACTGCGCAGGCTCAGCCTCTCGGCAGCCCGGCCGACCTTTGATGCCGGCTGCAGTCCCGTTGCTGAAGCTCTAGCTGCGCTCAACCCCCACCGTTTAGGACCATTGCACGCTCAGGTGGGCTCTGAGAAAAGCCCAGAAAAACTGGGATGCCCAGTAACACCAGCCGGACAGTTTACTAGCCGTTAGAGAAACCAGAAGTTGACCAGAGCTGGAGTACTAAAAGAACTCACCCCAAATTCACATATGCCCACGGTGGGTGTGCGCCTCACACTGATTTTGTTCCCACTTGAGAAGGCTTCTTTTCCCTAGAGAATGCTCCCTTTCCAGGCTTAGACAAGCCCAGGCACCAGTGAGGAAAGAGCGCAGCCTGGCTGTCTTACCCTGACATTGCAGTGGCGCCCGCGGCAGAGCTTTCTGTTTGTGACACCTTGGGAGTGGTAATGGTCGCCCTATGACAAGGTTGTGTAAGTACTAGTGGGTGGAGTCAATTCTGGGATTAGGCTCTGGAATGGAGAAAACAAGATCTGGGCCTCCCCCTTCTCCTCCTCCCAGTCTAACCGCCGAAATAATGAAGAGCTCACGTGTGAAGGACTCAGAAAATAATTTTCTTCAAAGTCAGGTGGTGGTGCTAGATGAGTAAAATGGGGGTAAAAAAAAAAATCAGGTTCGTTCTCACCGTCTTCTAGATAGGAGCAACAACTTTGAGTGATACCAGAAGTCTAGGAATTGCATTCTAGTTCCTGGAGTTCAGTGGCCATGCAAAGGAACCTTGTTACTAGTCAGGTTAGGCTAGGTTTTGCTGTGATAACAATGACAAAATCTCAGTGGCTCGAAACCACAAAGGTTTCTCTCACTACATGTCTATACAATAGTCTTTGACAGGGGAATCTGCTCATTATCCATTATTAAGGTACCCAAGTGGATGGAGCTCCACCATTCTGAGATCCTACCAGGTCACTGTGAGGCTTAGATTCCCACATTAAGTAAGCATGAAATATTGTTCATGGGCTCTTAAATTCTCTGCCTCAAAGGGATACATACCACTTTCACTCGCAATTCACAGGCCAAAGCAAGTCATTAGCCACACCCAACTTGAAAACCAAATGGGCAATCTTTTCATATGACTAGAAGAAGAAGGGAAACAGACATACTTCATTAAAAGAAGACGAGTTAATTATCTGTGGTGCTTCTTGAACAGCTTAGCAATTGGAACTCATCTATTCCAGCAGTTATGCGCATATCCACTTTGGTTTTGTTCCATGAGCCACTAAATGATGTTCTTAATGGAAACTTTTCCCAGCAAATAATAGGACTGGGAGTCAGGAAATCTAGATTTTGGTTTTGTTGTGTTAAGTTTGGGCAAGTCAAACCTCTCTGTGCTGCATTTTGCTTACATGGAGATTGTAATCATAGTTTTTATCCTCCCTACTTTACTACAGTATCAAGGGTAAAATAAAATGACACATGGAAAAATAAAACTCTAAAGCACTCCAGAGATGGAAAATTAATTGCCTATAGGGAAGAGTAGAATAAATGAGCGAAGCAGATTTGGTATAAGGTAATAGGGAGTGGAGGGAACTGTGGCAAACTAGAGAGCAGATAATTCTATTTATAAAGACTTTAATCCCACTCAGCTCCACCTAATTATTGCCATCTGGGACTCTGTGCCAGGTATTTCCATGGTTTCAATTTTCCAATAAAAGTCAGAAATTCTGACTTTTTAAATGTGAAATCTTATTTTCAAGTGCTGGTAACTTTTTTTAAATTGAGGATGAGATTCAGCCTATAGTCCTTCAGTTATCATCTCTCCATTATACAAACATATGATAGGAATTCAGGTTTTTGATGTGTAATACAGTTCTTCCATGGTTTTGAGGCCTTTTCTGAAATTCAAAAGTCTTGGAAAAGTTTAACATTACATGCTTAAAACCTTTTTTATCATATCCCTCTATTGCACTGGTTCCCAGGGAGGGGGCATTTTGCTACCCAGGGGTTATTTGGCAATGTCTAGAGATATTTTGTGTAGCAACAACTTGGGGGAGGGGACACAGGTAGATAGATACCATTAGATGAGCATTAAATGAGAAGTTATAAGATCATAGGTTTCATCCAGTGCCACTAATTCCCTTTTCCTGTGCATTATCCTCTGCTGGCTGCAAGTGAAGACTATCTGAAGCTTGTCCTGTGATCCTCATTAGTTCCTGCTCCACACTGCCTGTTGCCAGAGTCCCTAGCTGCTCTGTGAAGGCATTCTCTTGGCTGTCGTGCTTCCCAGCAACCACTGTATCTGCACCGTCATCAGTTTGGCAACCTCTGCGAATGTCTGTCATATTTTACTTGAATTGCTGCCCACTGGAACTTCACAGAAAGAAGTGACGGTGACAAGGTTCCTGCTGATGTCAGTTTTTTAAGGCCTTGACTCCTAACCCCTGCTTTAAGCATTAGAAAAATATCCAATTCATATTTGGCTCCTTAGGCAGCTGAATTCTGTAGTGGTTGGGATTTTCTCTGTTGATTAATTTTACCCTCATTTCTTGGAAATTCAGTCATGTATTCTGACCTTGAATACATGGTAATAGACAACTCAAAGTATTTCTCAAATGAAATATCTGCTTTTGCAGATGATTCAGGTTCGTGTCGGGGGACTATGTCCTCTGCTGTCATCTCATGGCCCCATGGTTGTCCAGGGGGAGGTCTCACAAAAGAGCCTTCCCACCAGGTAATGGCATGCGGCAGTGGCTTACCTGAGAGAATCTCCACGTGCACCCCACATCCCTCTCCTGCAGTGAGTCCACCAGGGCAGTAGCATGCACAGTCTGGTGCAGAACCTGGATGCCACAAGCTGGAGGAGGAGCCCTTCTGGGTCATCCTCACCCGCTTGGGCTTCTGTGTCTGTTACACAATCCTGCACTCGAGCCACTGAAATCAGTAAACTCAACTACCTGGGAGTAATCGGAGCTGACCTCGCCTGCTTGGCTTGATGAATGCTCCACAGCCTGTCTCCACTTGCCAGCTGGGGCTGAGGTGTTCTTAATCTCAGTGAGAAAATTACCCCGTCAGATTTCCACATTTTGTTTCCTTGGCTAGGCCCATTTTGTGTTGCTTGGTGGCCACACCCTTCATCCTGGCTTGCCCAGCTGGTGCTGCCTCAAGTTAGATACTTGGTTGATGGGTTGAGTTAGGATAGTGGAGTGTGGTCACTGCAAGGCAGTTTCCTATACATATGAGAGAATCTGCACGCTGTAGTGATCAGAGGTCCATCCCCAGGGACAGGAATGTGGGAGCTGGGTCACTGGTGACTGAACAGGCGCAGGAGGGAAGGCAGGAAAACATTTTTAGTTGATGTTAATATTTATTATAAAAATGTTAAAAACCTCCCAATTGCTAAAGCAAATTTGTAGAACTCACTCAGTTGTTAGCCCCTCCTGTATGCTTCCCATATATATATATATATTTTTAATGGAGAGCCCTGACTCTACCACAGGCCCCATTACCCCTGACTCCAGAAGAGAGGGAAGAGAAAGAGGAA